TGCCACTTCAGCTTGCTAATCTGTTGAGCTATGTCAGCGACTTTAGTTTGTTTTCTGAGCCCCGATTACGGTAACTTTTATAACGTCTACAATCCAGACGCGTTTCTGATTCTGCGATACGATTGGTCAAAACAGCTGACGTACGCTGTTGAACGACCAATCGTATCGCAGAATCGAGAAGCGTGTCTGGATTGTTGACGTTAAAAATTACCGTAATCGGGGCTCTGTTCTGTTACGAGCAACGAATTGAAGAGTGGGACGCGCGGACACAAGCGGGGATAAGTCGCGTCGCGGCCACAATAAAGAACCTTTGATGCTGCCGCGATGGCTATGACGATTTCTCGTGACAATATTTCAATTCATGATTCCATTTTATTGGCTATAATACGATTTCAATATAATTTTGTTATTTTGTCACGGTAAATATGTACATTTTAAATTTATAATCAAAATCTGGTCTGTGTATAGGTAAAATAAAAAAATTTAAAAGACAACGGCAAAGGTCAGTACTTTTACTGTGATGGTAATGATGTTTAGTGCGTGTTTTCTTGATTATCGAAATAACTTGAAGTATTTAATCAATATGGATCATGGCGCCTTATGTGGAAACTTGTATGAATCGTTATTCAGAAGTTTAATTTACCAGAACTACAACAGTTTTTTTTTTATCGATCGGAACATAAGTTTTTTACTGTTTCGCGGATTTACCCGCGAACGGGTAGTACATAGGTACTATATACAATTAGGTACGTACCTACGAGTGACCGTAAAATTTGTCTAATTTTTTTTTGAAACGCTTCGACACACAATGGTAAAGTAGTTTGAAAAGCTACCATGAATTAACCTACTCTCTAAACTGTTTCTTACATTTATTTTTTAAGCATTAAGAAATCTTTAAAAATAATTTATTGAATTAAAAGAACAATAAACATGTTACTTTTCCCAATCGAACTTTGGTAAAGCAGGAATATACCTAGCCATAAATAATAACCACAGTATTTTGATACTCGATGCCTCCTTACGCTTTTTTAAAAGCAAACCTATACCTAATCCGTGCGAGCCACAAAAAAAAAAAAAACTACCTAATTCATAGATAATAAGTACTACGACCTAATTTTCAAAAAACCTATCGTAAACCGGATGTATTATAACTAATTCTCTAAAAACTCAGAATCCCAAGTAATCGAAAACCATCGAAAAGTAAGAATGTTTATAAGTATGTCTTGTAGCTATCGCAAACCTAACTCGCGAAAACGTAGTTTGGAAAATCTGTGATGGAAAACCTATAAAGGAACGTTATAGCTCATGGGTGATCTATTCTATAACTATCATCTTCGAATCGAACATTCTAATCGCGCATGTTTGCTTTTGACGGCGCGGCAGCCACATAAAAAGCCCAACAAAAGCCGGACAGGCCGGACAAGTCCCTAAAAAGCCAAACATGTCCGGCTATAGCCGGAAACCTGGCAACCCTAACAGCTAAAAAAAAAAGAACTACATAGGGTACAAATAAAAATCATAAGTTTGATTTTGTGTTTTTTATTTTGCATAAAATTATATTTACGCCTCCTTCTTGGTGTCGGTCTTGCCACCACGAATTCTTCCGGTCCTGCGCGCAGCAATAAGACCGACCTTGCGACCGGCTGATGTTCCTCGCTTGACAGTCGATGCCTTACCTGTAAAATGAAATAAAATATAACTGTAGAACATAATAACATAGCACCAGTATTCATAACTTTAATTTAGGTAAATGCCCATAAATATTTTCTGATGGCAAATTATTTATAAATAAAGTTCTATCTAATTTAGCTTTGTATGTAGTAATTTTTAATTTAATGTTATAAACCTTTTTATTATGGAATTTTAATTAACTCAGGATGGCCACAAGCAATCACATCCAATAATGAGTTATGATTTATTAAAACAACAAATGTGAAGTTCCGATACTTACCAATGTGTTGATGGTTACCACCTCCGTGAGGATGCTCCACAGGGTTCATGGTAACACCACGCACGTACGGCCAGCAGTTACGCTTCACCTTGTACTTGTGGTACGCACGCCCAGCCTTCAGGATGGGTTTGTCAATACGTCCACCACCAGCGACAATACCTGAAAGTGTTTTGAATATTGTTAAAATAATCGTACAACTAGTATTGAGTGAAAAATCGAAATCTGTTGCCTCAGAAAGAGCCTCTTGTGTAATCAATGATCTTCAGAGTAGGTAAGTAGAAAGTCATCATGAACAAATAAAAACAATGATACCTTTACATTTATAAATAAATTGTAATCAAGGTAACAATGTTTTGGCAGTTTAATATAATATCATTTTAGCAATATAAATAAATACTCACCAACCATTCCTCTGTTGCTTGATGGGAGAACTTTCTTGGCTCCAGAAGGAAGCTTTACCCTGGTACGTTTGGCATCAGGATTGTGTCCGATAACGGTGGCAAAGTTTCCGGAAGCACGGGCTAGCCGGCCTCGGTCACCCATCTTCTCTTCCAAGTTGCATACAATGGTACCCTCAGGCATAGCACCCACGGGCATGACATTTCCTGTAAAAATATTATTTATCAGATTTATTGACACTAATATTTTAAAGAAAGAAAGATTATTGATTATTTGTATTGAATAGGCTCTGAAACTACTGGACTAATTAACAAGTCCTACATTAACTGATAAATATAGGCTGTACAAAGTTTCATTGTATTACATTATCCAATGAAAGACATGGGTATACTCTTATTGAAAGCTAGTAAGTATAGATAGGTTAGGGCAAAGAACTTACCAACTTCAAGTGTAGCCTTCTTTCCGCAGTATACGAACTGGCCAGTGTAGAGACCCTCGGGAGCAATGAACAGTTCCTTGCGCGTCTTAAACTTGTAGGGGTCACGGAAGTGAACAACCGCCAGAGGTGCTCCTCGGCCGGGGTCGTGGATGATATCCTACGCAACAACACTAGTTGAAACAAAAATGCAACATTTAATTTTCAACGCCTCTTGAACGTTACAATAAAGAGGGTTATGAAGCAATTTGCATCGTGGTCTAAGCATCAAAGATTAGTGAGAAATGTCAAAGGACCGAGGATACAAAAACAATGCGTTTTACCTTCACTACACCCTTGATGTATCCATGACGTTCGGCATAATCCAAGGAGCGGAGTTTAGGCGCTCCTTTCCTTTTCTTCGTGTGTGAAACGAAGACTGAGCCGGCACCTTTACGCTGAGCACGAATCACACGACCCATGGTTGTTCCCTCACTGAAAATGTATACACCTAAATTTTAACGGAATCGTAAACAATATTTATGAGGCTAGCTTTATTTCACAGTAACTCTACAAAATACTACTTTTACCACTAGATTATTACGGATTTAAATTATTTACAAATTATCACGTACATTTACGCAGAGGGTCACTTTTGAAAGAACTAAAACCACAGACAAGACTAATTTAGAGATGCGACTAAATAATCGATTAATCAAATATGAAAGAATCAATTTAATTATTCGATGATATCAAGGAAATTAATGAGTATTATTGAAATAAAATTAATTAATTTAAATGATTATGGAATTAATTCAGCGCCTCTCGATTTCTACAAACAAAACCTCGCTGTTCTGGAAAAGTGTGGCAATAGCTACTCTCACTCATTACTGGAAACTGGATGCATTGATTAACACAAAAAGTGAATGTGTTTCATACGAAAGAAGGAGATGTTTGTTTTTATACGCGATTTATTTTTGTTAATTATGTATGAATAAAAAATAATAAACATTTTTCCAGCAAAAATCCTGAGTCACCTTATCGGAATCAATTAAATTGAATTATAATATTTTTTGTAGCACATCACTATATTCACAGATAAAGTACACTTTGGAGCTGCAACGGACAAAGTCACCTTGTCCAAAAACTCGCAGGCAGCCATGTCGTAGTGCTGCTGTATCTACGCACGGTGCGGTGACATTCTTTTGTAATAAAAATAAAAGTGGTTTAAAAAGAGCTACGTTTACACTGTTCCATTTTTTATTTAATTCTATTTTTATTTATACTTACTATGAAAATGATTTTCAGATTGCTATTGTGCAAACGATATAAAGTTTTTAAAACAAAAAAGATTCGTTGATAGCCTACTTCGGATATTATTTTAGCCATAAACGCTGTTTCTGCAAAATTATTTTATTTATCTAGCTATTTTTTTATGATATGTTGCTTGTTTCCTATCAGTAAGGAACTTTGCTTCCATTAAAGTCAAGTAAAGTAAAAAAGTATTTATTACTAAAAGATGTCACATTGTACAAATTATTCTGGCGGTTTCTGCACTAAGCAAGAAAGCTTATAAATACTTTTATTCGTTGTCTTGCATGTCGGAGACATGCTGATTGAACGTAAGATGATTGATTTATAAACCTATTATACCTAATTTTACTCTACGATTTCGTAAGAACGAAGGAAAAATTACATAATTTAGTTAGAACAAAAAAGAAAGATACGGCGCATCTCAAAAGACACTTAAATTATTTTATTTAATTTTTAGTTTTTTTTTTTTGTAAATATGTATTATCTATTTATGTATAGTACAGTAGTACTACAGCAGTATAGTAGTAGTAGTATAGTAGTAATACAGCTATTAAATTTAAGTTTGTAAATTCATTTTAAAAATCTTTAAATTGTAAATAAAATGAATTATTGTTAATAAAAAAATGTTGCAGTACCTACTGTAACTTCTATCGAATTCGTAGCTATTCGTATGATAGATAGAAGAATATAGAAGAAGTACATACCTTACCTAGGTACAAAATAAAATAGCAACAAATGAAGTTCAAGAAAGATGTCACAACACTATAGTGAATAAATAAAAATAGTGTTGTTTCACTATTGTTGTCAAGTGTCAAACAAAAAAAGTTTCCGTGAAAAATTGTTTTGATTCGGAATATTACCAAATTAATTAGGTATGCAATTTTTTAATTATTGAGAATAATTTACTGTGTGAGCGTAGCCTAAAGTCACGTTGTAGTCACGTTGCAAGCGGCGTGGACTTTTCTGACAACTGTGTGGTTTTCTACGATACGATAGAGTTTGTTTGCTTCTTGTCGTTTTTACTAAGCACGGCGTAATGAATTCATGTTCTGGACCAAGAAAATAGGAATAAACACATCTAACGGTGTAGTGCGAGGTTTCAACTAGAATTCAGTGCTAAAAGTGATTAAAACAAATCAAAATTCTAAGCGGTTACACTGTGTAATACTTGTCTTTATTTCTCCAATAGTGTTTTTAATTTTGTAACAAAATAACAGTGACTCTTTGAACTCGCCAGTGGATTACAATTATCCGGGCCAGCTTTACTATAATATCAAGGATATTCAAAGGTATTTTATATTTTGCCTCATAATTTTATGGATTTCTAGGTTTGCTTCTCCTCTCTATCACACTCTTTTTGAAAGCCTTAAGTTGAAGCAGGATGGCATGACATTTTAGCTACCTATGTTCTAAGTAGTTAGGTATAAAAGGGAAGTTATTCAACTTAAAACTTGAAAAGGCTTCAGACCTCACATGTTTTATGTACTGAGCTTGGAATTGGGAAACTGATGGGGAAACTCAAGCCTTAGAAACAACGAAGTTTACAAACATTTGTAGTCTATGAAAATAGGTTTAGATTGTGAAAGGGGCTATAAATAAAAATGGCAACAAATAGTTAATTATTTCAAAATGATAGACTTGTTCTAATAAATAAAATATGATAATAAGATACATTTAGTAATAAGCTTAGTTGTAATCTGTAATTTTTTTCTTATAAGACATCGTTTAAAGACAAATCTGTTCATGATGAATGAAAAAACTGTACCTAAATACCTACATAAGATCAGAGGGCTTACTTAAATTGGAAAATGTCTAACATAAGATGCCATTTTTATGAGCAGCCTGTTTTGAAGCATAGGTGAAGCACAACAAACACAAAAAATAAATCTACAATTCTTGTAACTTCATTTACTAAATCAATATTTGGGCTTGAGTGCTTGAGTTTTTCTAGATGTTGGAGGTTGTAGTGGGACTACAGAACCCCTCACCTAATTTTCTTTCATCATAATGATTGATTCCCATTGACTTCTCTCTTCTCTGCAGATGCAACAATAAATTCTTCTAACTTTAAAATAACTAAATAAAACAGGACATGTAGGTACCAGCCTGTGTTTTTTCAGGTTTAAAAATATTATTTTAAATTTTATTTTAATTTATCCTTTTCTGCTTAAAGTATGAAAAGTAAAATACACTACTAAAATATTTTTATGTTGAACCCTGCTTCTTTTTCACTATAATAAATAAAATTACCTAATGTCAGGCTCTGGCTCTACCCTGTTTTCATACTAGTTTGTATGAAGACCTGCTAAGTTAAGATCAAAGCAACACTATGCTAAAAAATATATTTTCGGTTTACAATTTACTGTATAATTCTAGCAGCAATGTGTAATTGTTAAAGATTTAGTAGAAGGTTAAGTAAAATCTAGTTAAAAAGTGTAAAAAAATTAAAAAGACTACACAATACTCACCTACTGTTTTTACACTTTGTAATGCTTATGCAATAGCAGCATGCTTACCTTAGTATTATGTATTTTTTATGTTTTAATGACACAGCTGATAGCAGAACCAATGAAATTTGAGATAGTTATTTATTGTTTCAATTGCTTGCTAGCTGGTAGGTAGTTCATGTGGGTAAAACTTTAGGCTAGACCTTATAAAGCCTACTCATATTGCATGTGGCACAGGTATATGATATACAGTTACTTACTGTTCTATTTAGTGAGGTGCCACCAAACCTAGGCTAAGGGCTAGTTACACCAGTCATCTAAAAACATTCTTCAACATCTAAAGATAGCATTTTGTTATTATTTTTATTTGCCAGTTATCTCCATGTGAGACCTGTGAAACTGTATGTTACAGTTATCTTCCTGATAAGTAATAATAGGGTATCAGGAACTTGTAAATGGTGGCTCTAAGTTTCTAGCAAATTCAGCTAGACATACGCCATGAATAAATATGTGCCATTAATTCGCAAATACCTTGAAATAATCGTATCGTCTAGCCCACATATCGATCTATTTTCTTGCTTGCGTAATTCAATGATAACCTTTTATTCGCAGTTAATGCCATGTGGGTGACGAGTTAGGTATGTCGGCTGCAGCGGAGACGCTGCCGACAGCGTCAAGTGCGCGCACGCATGCGACCCTAGCGACCGCCCCCACCGGCCCGCAGCGCTGTTCCACCGGGAAACACATCGTTCATTGGTTCCGCAAAGGCCTCCGACTCCACGACAACCCGGCCTTGAGAGAGGGCCTCAGCGACGCAGTCACATTCCGATGTGTCTTCATAATCGATCCCTGGTTCGCTAGCTCGTCGAATGTTGGGATAAACAAATGGAGGTAATTATTTTAGCCCTTGTTTCTTTCATCTTTGATTGCTTTAGCGAAGAGTAGTAAGTAACAGTATCAGTAAAAACCAAAACAGCGAAAGTAGAGTATGCACTTTCAAATCTCATTATCGCAGTTAAACCGACAACCAAGTCGTGTCTGTTGACATAGTTGAGTAAATAGCACAAACTCAAACTTTTCGCGGAGACCATTTACTGATAATTTCCAATTCATTATCCAGATTCTTGTTACAATGCCTGGAAGACCTGGACAGCAGTTTGAGGAAGCTAAATTCCCGGTTGTTCGTGGTGCGCGGACAACCGGCCGACGCCCTGCCGAAACTCTTTCGCGAGTGGGGCACCACAGAACTCACGTTCGAAGAAGACCCTGAGCCCTACGGTCGTGTCCGGGACCACAATATCATGTCCAAATGCCGAGAAGTCGGCATCACCGTCATATCTCGTGTTTCGCACACACTCTACAAATTAGATAAGTGAGTAAATATTTACACTTATCCAGTTATAACTACGTACTCAGACTGAATAATTGGGACGATTTTATTATTGCGTCATTTGTGACGGCACTAAAATAACTCGAAGATACTTAAATCAACTATTTACATTGCTTTGACTATTTCTATTGTTGGGTACCATTTGCGACGAATGAATGAAATAAGCCCATTGATAACTTTAAAAATTTAATCGAAAATCTTCCAATTTTACGATGCTTTAACTAAAAAGTAGCAACTGAAATGATTTGAATAAATAAAGTAAATTCGCGTCAAACAGGATTTCTAATCAGACATTAATTAAAAAATATGGCTATCAATTCTAGTGTAGGTACCGAGTACTTTTACTGAACGTTTTAATCGTTTTTCTTAGAATTATAGAGCGCAATGGTGGGAAAGCACCGTTGACATACCATCAGTTCCAAGCGCTGATAGCGAGTATGCCACCGCCGCCGCCCGCCGAACCCGCCATCTCGACGGAAACGCTAAACGGTGCCACGACACCGGTCTCCGACGATCACGACGATCGCTTTGGAGTCCCTACCCTCGAGGAGCTTGGTATGTCGTCTACCCTCAACTTATGATATTGCAGAGGAATGAAATTAATTATCCTACTGTTCGAAAACAGCTGCAACTGCTTGGAACGCTTTATTCTATAGGATATGTATGTGCATTTGCAGGCTTCGAGACTGAAGGACTGAGGCCTCCGGTGTGGATTGGCGGTGAGAGCGAAGCTTTAGCTAGATTGGAGAGGCATCTCGAACGGAAAGCATGGGTAGCTTCATTTGGGCGGCCTAAAATGACTCCGCAATCTCTATTGGCTAGCCAAACAGGGCTGTCACCCTATTTGAGGTGTGTAGGTGGCATTTTGTTAATGTTTTTCAATTTAAACTACGTTATACTAACTTTTGTGTTGCTCTAGGTTTGGGTGCTTATCAACAAGGCTATTCTACTACCAATTAACGGAATTGTACAAAAGAATTAAGAGGGTGCGACCACCTCTTTCTTTACACGGACAAATACTTTGGCGAGAATTTTTCTACTGCGCCGCAACGCGGAATCCAAATTTCGACCGTATGGAAGGCAATCCCATATGTGTTCAAATACCATGGGAGAAAAACCAGGAGGCTTTAGCAAAATGGGCGAACGTATGTATCACCTGAGTTTTGCTATACCTAAGATTTATATTCATCAAAAATTGATTTTGAGTTGTGTTATAGGGTCAAACTGGTTTTCCATGGATTGATGCGATCATGATACAGCTGAGAGAGGAAGGCTGGATCCATCACCTGGCGCGACATGCCGTGGCATGCTTCCTTACCAGAGGTGACCTTTGGATTTCATGGGAGGAAGGAATGAAGGTATTTTGATATGTTATTAAATCAGCATTCATCCACGATGATGGTGTAGTAATTTCTCGATATTTCTGGGTCAAGTGGATCAAATTTTTATGCTAGGGTTAGATGCTCCTTCCCTGGGAGCATTAGCTTACGCCAGGGATGGCGAACCAATGGCACGCGTCAATCACAAAATTCACTATAAAATAAAATAGTAAATAAGTCGTCCGTTAGTGCCACTGTAAAGTAAGGCTGTGGTAAGGCCTTGTCACTACTATACTCCTCATTGATAGCATTAGGTGTTATTTGATGGCACGTCTATGACTACATCAAACATTTTTTTCTGAAAAGTGGCACGTTGAGACATAAAGGTTCGCCATCCCTGGCTTACGCTATGTAGGCATTGAGATTTGATTTTAAGCTTACGCCAAAGTTGTTACATAATGCAAAATCGAATCTTGAATTACGTAACGAACAAGTATTTCCCACTTTTTTGTCGATAAAAATTTGAAAAGGTCAAAACCTTATTTTTGTTTAGATTATACAAAACAGGTAGTAATGAATGAATGTTGTATTATTAGGTGTTTGACGAGTTACTACTGGATGCGGACTGGTCGGTGAATGCGGGCATGTGGATGTGGCTCTCCTGCTCGTCTTTCTTCCAACAGTTCTTCCACTGCTACTGTCCTGTCCGATTCGGAAGGAAAACTGATCCTAACGGGGATTTTATCAGGTACTTATATTTTGTAAATGTACCAGAACTATTCGATGTATAGATATGCTCCTAAATGTATGTGGAAGTCTATGAGATTGTTTTAATGATCTTGTTTACATTTTTTTCTTATAGGTATTTCCCTATGTCAATTCACAGAGACACATACCTATTCAATTTTATTTGTATACCTATTTATTTTGTATGCACACAACTTCACACAATAACAACTAAAAGTAGGTAGTCTACCTCCGCCGTTGATTATTTACTTGTCTTTATATATTTATAGCAAGAACCGGTATGTCTACTTGTAGAGCTATAATATTTATTCTTTATTCAAAACTATAACTTCTATCTACTCGTTAAAATACTTGTTTTGATGTTACATTTAATTAAATGAGGCTACACTCTGTTGCAATATATCTTAGGTAAATAGGTTTCAACTATCTTCATGTCATTTACGTCATTATACTTCTTCATTTACCTACCTAAAATAATAAACTGTGGCATGCAGATTACAGAATAACAAAAATAATTTTGTGTCATTAGAATAGGGATAATTTATATAATTTGCCATAGATAGCTCGATATTGACAATATCGTCCCACAGTTGAATATAAATACTGTTTTGACACAACTAGGTGCAATTATTAGAAGAAACAGTAGCGGTGACGGTGGTTCGCATCCCGCCGCGTTAAACTATTGTGATGAATCCACGTGTAGCACAAGCCTATTTAGCTTATTATGAGGGGTTAACTGGACTGTTAGTAATTTGTGCAATATAAATTACTATAGATCTAGTCTACGCTTAACTCACACAGTGCCTGAGTTATGAGAGCGCTACAGGAGGGGTGATTTTGACATATTATTATGATGTGACAGAGTATACAAATTAGAAGTCTCGCTGACATTTGTTGTAACAAAAACACTCCCGTGCCGCTCCCATACCTTAGGCACTGAGTTATGCGCTCGCTAAAAACATTTATTTATTTATTTTCACCAACTTATACTATCTTTACAGGTCAATAACCTAATGCGGTAGAATAAATTATTTTGTAGGCAGGTACACTGTATCTACTTACACTAATTAATTACTTATAAATAACAATAAAAAGCGCGGCTCTTACGAATCTAACATGTCATTTACATGGCGGCCATTGTCCACAGACGCTACATTCCCGCGCTGAAGAACATGCCGACGCGCTACATCCACGAGCCGTGGGTGGCGCCGGAGTCGGTGCAGCAGTCGGCGCGCTGCATCGTGGGTCGCGACTACCCCATGCCCATGGTGGACCACGCCAAGGCCTCGCAAATCAACATCGAGCGCGTCAAGCAAGTCTACGCACAACTCGCTAAATACAAACCACAAGGTACCATAGCCTTACAAATCGTCAGCGGCGTCAAGCGGCGCGCGCAAGACCTCGAACGTTTGCAGACCAGTGCCGTTAAGATCCCGCGTAGTTTTATCCTTTCGCTGCCTTTGTTTTGAAGCGCTTTTGCATTTTTATCGCAGTCTGTGTTTAGTTTATGGTTGAAATGTATACAAATAACTCTGAAATGAAATTGCTTATTGTTGGTAATCCATGTTGGGCGCCAAAAATTTCTTGGCGCCCAACGTGGTGTCGTCATATTATTATTTTTTTATTATTGGATACTTTTTTACTTGTATGCGATAAAAATGATTTTTGTTAAAAGTGTAAACTTTTAAAATTTTGTAGGTGTTTTTATATTTTGTTTTTAATTTCAAGCTATTTTTGTTAAGTTATTAATTGTTTGCAATTATTTACCTAGTTTAAATGAGCACAAAAGTTATTAGATGATATAAATGTGATGATGAAGTAGTACATTCGCCTAGTTATTTTTTAAATATTCTAACATGGCAGTGATGGTACTTTTTATTATCATTTCAGCTATATTGAATCCACATAATCTTCAGAGACCGAATGTTATGCAATCTTCGCCTAGTCCGACGTCCATAATCGCGAATATAAATCAGTCGAACTACTTGTGTAGTCAAGCACCGGACCCTCAGCCCACTACTGCATCAAAGTCGGACGGTTTCGATAAAGACGCGATTGTGTTCCAACATCCCAGTAGCAACTCACGACGGGACGGCAAGCACACGCAGTTCAAGAAAGTCGTCATCGTACAAACACAAAGCACTAACGTCGCTCGCCCGCCGACTCCGGAACGCCCCAACCGTTGTTCACCGCAACCCAATTTCATTATCAATCTGGACGCATACAAAACAAATCCAGGCATGGATACCACACAAGAACAAAGCAAACAAGACAACTATAACTTCAAGAACCTAGCCATCAATAATTACATACAAGATTATTCTAATACTTCCGAGTATCGGAACCAGCAGCTGAATAAAGAAGAGGCATATCAACAGGACGTCAAAACCAACAGTTTCGGTTTTCTAAAGCCAAAGTTCTACTTGTCCTACACGGATAACGGAGTTTCACGAATTGCAACCGCTCGTGCAGCGACACAAAATGAGATAAATAAAGAAACTGCAAGCGATCCGGAAAAAGAGAAGTCGGAAAGTAATTTGCACTCATCAACTATGCAGACTGCTGAGTTTCAAGAGTCTTCTAAGACTGTATATGATCCCAACACGAAAAACACAGAATAGTGAAACTATATGACACAAACTGCATTATTGACAACTAATATTTTGTGCACTTATGCTACTGCCGCCACTGAAAAAGTGATACAATGAATGCAAACAATAATAAAAGGATATTTAGATAACATTTAACTAAAAAGGAAGCTGGATACATCATTCCTTATATCAATAGTATCGTAATCCCTTATTTTTAAATAGGTGATTTATTTAGATCACGTTTGAATAAATTCTGCATAATATAGTGTACTACTAAGGGTATATAAAACTTAACTAATTCTCCAAAGAATTTACTGTGTGTTCTCCAAATCTGTAAATTAATGTTAGAAAGAACTTAGCTCCATTTTTAGTTTCGGACACCATCGATCAAACCACCCTGCCCTGAGAAGATTAACGTAAAATGTTTACTCACTGATAGTTCGAAAAAACTATTGTAATAAATTAATCATTACTACTATCAAAGAGAAACACATTAGTATGGATCTCATGGTGTCCTTATCGAGAGGTGGTGAATGGCACCATTTAATTGAATTCTATGTAAACTTCATTAATTTGACAGAAAATGCCTTGTGCCATTGTATGTACATTTAGGCCCGTATTATGAAACTACTCTCAATACTTGATTCAAACAGAAGCATAGGTTCAAGCCTGTGTGTGAAAAAGAGATGATACTCGACCACAGGCTTGAATCTTGCTTGAGTTTGAACCTAGTTTTGAGTGTTGTTTCACAATACCGACCTAAAAATTATCCTGTAAGATTATAGTTAATACATAGAATAAGTAGTGTTAATGTTAGATTTGTTGTACTATAGTTATAAATAGGGTATCCTTCCGTTTGGCCAAATTACTTTTCGCCAAATTTCACTTCGCAAACAACTTATCGCCAAAGTTTCATTTCCCAAATGAACTTTTAGCAACTGTACTTTTCGCAACTAATTCATTTGGTCAAATTATCACTTGGCCAAATTTTACTTGGCAAATGTTTATATAGCAAATGTTTTATGTTGCCAAATATTATATCCCAAATAATTTGTTTGGTCAAATTGACACTTCACATACTTACCCACCGTTACCCACAAATCAAAGCATAAGGCACATGATCATGGTTTTCACAATAATTTTATGTAAAACATTGCAGAAAATAGTATGGTTGCAAAAAGTAGGTATTGCAGAAAATAGTAGGTTAGGTTAGGTTAGAACAGTGACCCTTAATGCGCGAAGGCGAGCGAAGCGTGCCGCGGCAGCGGCCGCCGAGCGCTAGAATCACCTCTATTGTTAATGAATCATATGGAAATTTCGATACAAAGATTGAAATAAGGAAATTAATGTAGGTATAACAAATTTTATATTAACTACCCACTAAACAAAATAATAACCACAAGCTAATTTGTATACCATTCTATGCACCAATCAAATTATTTTGTAAATAGTTTATCGTGAAATATTTTTGCCTAATGAAACATTTGGCAAACCATACTTTGCCAAACAATAATAAAAGACAATGCCGGAAATTGGCGTCTTTTTTTTTTCGCGCGGCCATCGACCAAATCTTGTTTTTTGATTACAAAATAGTGTAATAAACCAAACTTAGTATGATATGTATACCTCTAAACTCAGTCTGAACTGAGTTACGAGCATCAGAAGTTTGATGATTTTCATACTAGATTTGCTGTTTGGGCGCAAGTTTTGTAAGAAATTGCAACAAAATAATGACATTGTATGTGTAAACAAACAATACCATCCATTAAAGGCTCCAGACATCAGTATGCAGCAGAATCAGCTCAATAAAAAAATAGCGCAATATTTTGTTGCAATTTCTTACAAAACTTGCGCGCAAAAAGCAAATCTAGTATGAAAATCATTAAACTTCTAATGTTCGTAACTCAGTTCAGACTGAGTTTAGAGGTATACATGCCATAGTAAGTTTGGGTTATTACACTATTTTGTAATCAAAAAACAAAGTTTGGTCGCTGGCCGCGCGAAAAAAAAAAGACGCCACCTTCCATACAAAATCTGGCATTGCCATTTGTGATGGTTTATGGGGATCGATACTGGCGATCAGTTTCGCCGAGTCACTTAGGCCGTGTCCCCATTAGGTGAACAGTGGGCAGCTATTAAAAGTCCGCCCATAAAGCGAGTAACATAATAATGTACCTACCCCAATTTGCGGCAGCTTCAGTTCGCTGCTAACTTTAGACGTTGAGTTTGCGATCAATATCACCGATTACGTAATAGGAAAAATTTGCCAACGGACGGATACTCAGCCGCTCACAGTTCGCCTCATGGAGACACCCCCGAGACTAGAGATTAAGATAGTAACAAATCCGGAATCGCACCCTGTTCAATCCATTCACAATTGATTGGTTTTGTAATAAATAAATAATGTTTCTATTTTCCAGATTTATTTATTATTTAGTATGCTGTTGTTTTAGTCAATGTGATGTGTTATTATTGTCATATATTTTATTAATAAATAAATACTTGTCATAAATGTTATTTTTCATTACACTATACCACATTACCTAAAATAGAGTTATCCAGTCAATCCATAAGTTTGGGAGCTACATGATCACAGGGGGAAATGCTTTAATAAATCTAAGGGGAAATGAAAGAGAAGCTTGCAGGATAAATTAGCCCAAACTCCTTTTATAACTTTTCACTATTTGTTAGTTTCCATCTGTACTAATATCTAGTAACTCATGAGCTATGATACTAATCGCTATGATGCCTGCTTGCGCTGTATTTAAAATCATTTTCGATACTCATCATGTTATAGGTATTCTAACTAGGTAATAACGCTAAAAACCATTTAAAAATCCTATGAGAACGTTTTCGACTTCTACGCGGACAAAGTCGCGAGCGGCCTCTAGTAAATGAAATAAAAATAGAATGCCTTGCCACTCTACTGATGATCTTAACCACTTTACTGATAGTGGCTGAATTGTTGCCACCATATTTTGAGCTTTATTGACGTAACATAATATGGTTCAAAACCAATGAAAACATTCCTTTTTTTCCACAAACAAATCCAATCCTATAATTTATTGTAATTCAGTGTGATACATAAAATATAAATACTTTGATAAGAAAACCAAATAAAACCCTTTTTAAATAAAATATTGTTTTAATGCTCTAACAATCATGTTTAACATACATACAAATTCTGCTTTTATAGAGTATTGTAAGTACTAAAAAGTATAATACCACTATCATTCTAATAAAGCAACTGTTTCCATATGACGTTGCAGTGCCTTCTTTGCTTTTCTTGATTTTTCAATGGGTTTCTTTTCTGGAGCTTTCATTCTAGTTTTACTCAGTTCTTTATTAATTGTCGGTATAATAGGCATCTAAAGGGAAACAACATTTTAGTAAACAAAAACAAGCAATAATGTTTTTTCTATTCTTGTGTGATTATCACTTACAGTCTCAGGAATATGCACATATCTAATATTACGAGCTTGAACAAATAAAGTCTCAAAGGCATATTCATTTTCTTGAGGGTCGACAAAAACAGCATTTGATAAAGAAATATTCATGTAACTGTAAAGAAAAAATAGGTACTAAAGTAACTCAAATAAAGACTAGAGTATAGGTGCCATTTTTATAAATATAAATATATTTTTTTATAATCAACATTCAATAGCTCACCCATCTACTGCAGTAACAAGACCACAAATAGTTGAATCATTTCTAAGATCTAGTGTTATATTTTTTCCTTCTAATGATTTTACTAAACATAGTAAGGTGTTATGGTAGAAAAACTTTTCTTTAGAAGTACCAGTAAACTTAAACATGACTCTGAAATTATAAAATATGATTTGTAAGCAGGCATTTTAGGATATTAAACACTATTGGCTATTACTAAAAACATTTATTGTTTTTAATATAATATGATATACTACTCTGATAAAACATCACACTGTAGTTCTGAGAACTTTATAGGCATGCAATTCTATTTTTGTTTCACTATAACCAATCTGGCATCTGGTTTTAACTTTATTTCTAATTCTGCTTTTGTAACATTCCACTCATTTTCATTTCTTTCTGCCCAAAAATAATAAGTTCCCCTATCTTTAGGTCCTGATACAGGAATTTGATATCTGGCTGTTTGTTCATCACAAAAGTTATTTTCAGGGTCTGTTAATTTAAACCGTTTATCCTTGATTGGCTCTCCGAGATAGTGAACTGCACCTGGATGAGTCCGTAGCTTTTTCAAAGCGTCTTTATAAAAATTACAGTCTCTAACTCTATCCACCATTACACTTTGCAAATAGAATCCAGTAGTGCTGACTATTACACCACCCCACCCAGCAATTTGTAAAAGTCTCATATTTGAAATAGTCATGGCAATTTATCAAACCTGTAAATAAACCGAATAGGTACACAAAATCTTCTTGGATCTTTGCAGGGAAATCCGAAAATTCCAGTTGTATGTTGTATGCTTAGATTAATAAGTTGTATGGTTGTATTCTTTTTCCAAGTTTGGAAACTTTAGAATATTGTAAAATGTTCTCAATTTGAATGAATTATAGCACAGAACAGAAGTATATGTACCTATAAATAGTCAATTCAATTTGTGTGATGAAACTAAAACAAGTTAAAAATCGCTAAAAACAGTCTTTTTGAGGTTAGAATTTTAGAAAACAGATGGAGATGGATGACAGCTGACAAACAATTGACAGCAGAATTACAGATTAACAAAATAGAGATTATCGAACGAACGACCGTCATTTGACTTTGGTCTTATTTCCATTAGGTCTCTTGGTCGGACCCAACCGAGATTCGGAAATTCTAGTAGCTTTTTGTATGGAAATCATGGACTCGCTGGAAATTGGGCTCTAACCGAGACAGTCGCGTAGTCGCTAGATGTGAACTCTAATCGAGAGTTGGATCCGACGACCTAATGGAACTAGGCCTTTATGTTGTCTTGCTTAAAAAAAAAAAATTGACATTGTTGACAACTGTGAGACTGTGACAGACAGAACAGAATGGCCGCACGGCACGCAATCATTGAGTGAGGTTATGTTATATTTTTTATTTCAGTGGTTAAGCTAAAAAAAATACGCATTATTACAATTGTCCAGCTGAACTGCAAGTTGTTAACATTACTTAGGTCTGTGAATAATATCTACTATCAAAGAATCAAGCCACTTGTGATTCTTTTTGTGCACAAAACAAAAATCACATTTACCAATGCTAGCAGCAAGTGGGTGGTCAACTGGTGCTTATTTTGCATTTGTGTAGTCCCGACTGATCCCTGCTAGTGTATGTAAAACATGATTTATTTAACCCATTTCAGGTTTCATGTAAAAATGAGTACTTCACGAGGCAACACAACACGACAAAGACCACAGAAATACCAAAATAAAACAGCTTTTAAAAATGACTTGCATGATACAAGCCACAGGACTAAAATTATAAATTCATTAGATATAACTGGAGTGTGTAAACGCTGCAAAGATATCATTGAATGGAAAATCAAATACAAAAAATATAAACCACTCACAGCACCACGGAAATGTGTTAACTGTGAACAAAAAACTATAAAACATGCATATCACATGTTATGCAGTAAATGTGCTACTGAAAAACAAGTGTGTGCTAAATGTTGCAAACCAGCTGATGTAAGTTTATTTTGTCATGTTTGAAGTATAAGTAGGTACCTTCAATAGCTCATCAAGGTGTTACCACAAAATGTGAAACTTCCTTAAAACTAGGACACTTTGTACATCATAAAAGTTACTGAAAATCTAATGCAATATACTAGAGCACATTTATCTCTTATAGATAATCGAAATTACCTTAGCAATAGTATTTTGTAGCAGTTTTAAAATTTATAATTGATTTATTACAGAGTCCAGACGAAGAAAAGGTAGATGAATCACAAAATACAGCTATACAAAGTATGTTAAAAGGTTTACCTGAAAGAAAAAGGAGGACTATACTGAGGTATGTATATTTTTTTATGGTTGGGTCACAAAGAATCACTTTATTATAAAAAAAATCTACTCAACCAATTCATCAGTTCATTTAATGAACTAAATTTTAGTCTTCACTTTTGAAACACAGCCTTCTAAGTTACCAGAGGCAAATGGATATCAAGCTCCTACTCAACTTTCATATTTAAAAGCCTAACTAACTAGCCTTTACTATTATTGTATGATGTGTGCCAAATGAGAAATGATAATATAAAATTTTTAAATTCATAAATAACTTTTTCAGATATTTGAACAAACAAGGTAGTGACCAACAGAAGACCAGTATTGTTCACTTGGAAAAAATGATACAAGAAATGGACAAAATGGCTTTAGAAGATGATTTAGATGACTTTTTTAGTGATGATGATCCAATCAGCAGTGACAATGAAGGAAAAGAATAGATATTAATTATATGGAATATATTTTATTTAAAAATTATGTTGCTACATCATTTTATTTTATACAATTTTCTAAATAAATTAAATTTTCCTTACACCTTAAATTGGACAGCAAGACCCATGATAAAAAATCTTAAGTTTATAACATTAATTGAGAAAAGATAAAGATAAGTGTAACATCAGTTGCTCTTGAAAGCATTCCATTCTTAATGATTTTTTTGTGAAAATGCATTTTATAGAGAGATGGTTTAATTTAAACTTTGCAAGGTTTGTAAAGGTACATCCACATCTCTTCATGTCTGCCAAACTACAATGACAATCTGAATATTTAACTCTTTTACTGTTCACATATCAACATGTTTGTTAAAATAAGTAAAATTGTCATTGGATAAAGCAAAAGCTGTTTACTTACTATATCTTTTCTTATTGGAAATAATATGGCATAACAAATCTAGTACATATATTATGTAATTGAGGTGACAACTTCACAATCAATGATACACATCATGGAGTTACAGGATTAAAAGAAGGTAAAAATTAACATGAACATGTGCGGTAAACGCAAAATTCTAACTCATCTCTCAAAAGTGTCTCGCAAAACTGGCAAAAGTAATAAATAAAATCACACAGTTGTTAACAATTTGGAATATTGTATGTATTACTACTGCTTAGTTGTTTTATTACAACTAAAAGCATTTATTCACTCATTTGAATAGATGATGTTGCAATAAAGTTGTAATTGTTATAAACTATCTCAGTTATAATAGGCCCTCTTGTTATTTCTCTTTTAATATTTTTTCTCAACAAATAATATAAAATTTAACTAGCAAATAATATGGATGTAGACAACTTTTTAAGATTCGATATTCGTTAGAAGTGTGAGTTCCGCCGTGTAGGTAGTATAATATTCCGTACAAAATCTAGGAAGAAATACCGGCCGCTTTCACATTATGGCGTGAGAAGCGCGACAGCAGCGTTTTTATAATGTGAAGGCAGGCATCCGATGTCATATAGCGAGAAATTATCGGCAGCGCATCTGTCGCGCGTTTGCCGCGCTGTTAAAGTCGCCTAAATGTGAAAGCGCTCTAAGAGCAGCTCATAAGTTACTTCAATTGACTGGTGATGTCTACATCCCTATTTTACTTAAAAATATAACAAATTACAGTACTTAATTATATTATTTACAAAAATCTATACAATACATTACAATTAGATACATTACGCTTTAGTCTTCGGTGAATACATATTCTATTAATCCTTTTTAATATTAAATTATTTTTGCCCTGGTTGCTTCTGACTGAGCGTCATAATTTACTAACAGGTGGTTTAATTAAGGCATTTTGCTGTTTAATTCTCATTACTAACCAAATATATTGATTTAAATTTAAGTCTCAGTTTTTTACCTGCCTTTTATAGTAGATAAGGAATCTAAAGGATAAAATAAATCACGGTAACGGTCGTTGAATGTATTCTATGACAAACCCTTTAACATCATTGAGCATTGAGCTTCTAATTAGGGTGTACGTGTAAAATGTGTACTTTATGATTACATGATTTTCTTCAGCAAGCAAACTGTTATTTTGGCAGTGATTTTAATATGCTGTCGATATTATAATCCAAACCTTCAGCAAATTGCATGATTCGTCACACTGCAGACCCACGATACCCCTGGTGGTATCGTGGGTCTCGTTAAAGAACTACACTTCAGACCCACGATACCCCTGGGAGTAAAGTTGGCAAACGAGGACCGGCGCGGGCGCGGGCGCGGGGAGGGACGCACAGTGCACACGGCTAGTGCACAGTGTTGTGGAATACCTCTATGAATTCTAAATTGATTTCATTGAACATGCAATAAAATGTATATCGTTGAAAATAAAATAACAGCAATTCATATCTACATACTCGTATAATGATTACGTAGTATCAGGTAAAGTACCAGGGCAACATAACCATAAAGGAGCTATTTTGTGATACATATTTATTTCTCGGGTCAACCAAGAAGAATTTGATAATAGCTCCCATAAGGTTATGTTACCATGGTACCTTTTATTTACCGTAGTAAATTCCTTTTTTCCCCACTGCTCAACTAGACTGCTCAACTGCGCAACTGTTCAACTGGTTATATTTCCCATACAAACTGCTCTACAGGAGAAGTTTTGTAATGTTAAAAAAAACTTTACTTTCACTTCATAAAATTAAAATATAGCGTAAAATTAATATTGTGTGAATAAATATAAATTATTGATAATATCTCTTTTTTTTCCCAAGGGCAAACTACTCGTTTAAATCATTGTCACACACAACGTGGTAGATGAAATTATCTTTTTATCACATCAAATAACATAGATTATAGTATCAGAACAAAAATAAATAATTAAAGTCAAAAAGTTATTTTATAAGTGCTATTAATTAATTTTATTCGTAGTATTAGGTATGAATTGTTGTTATTTTATTTTTATTTTTAACGATATACATTTTATTGCATGTTCAATGAAATCAATTTAGAATTCATAGAGGTATTCCACAACACTGTGCACTAGCCGTGTGCACTGTGCGTCCCCCCTCCCCGCGCCCGTGCCCGCGCCGGTCCTCGTTTGCCAACTTTACTCCCAGGGGTATCGTGGGTCTGAAGTGTAGTTCTTTAACGAGACCCACGATACCACCAGGGGTATCGCCAGGGGTATCGTGGGTCTGCAGTGGATTCGTCATATTCGAGGGGGACGGAACCCGTGCGCAAGAAATTATGTAAAAAGATAACTATGTTCCTCTGTTTTATAACTGAAATAAAACAGATAATTTAGGATACCTAATTTATCCTTAAAAAGATTCGACGCCGTTTGTAAAATAACGAATCATGCAACATTAAACAACATTGCCAAAAATAAATTAAGCTTAATACCTACAACAATAACAAATATTTGTCTATGCTTTAATCTGTGATGTAGCGGTTCGCCACATTCAAGCAATAAAGGCATCCCTAACACGATGATTTTCTAGCTTATAAACCTCTAAATTATTGCTCCTTCCTCATGGCAGCCAACGTGTTAACATTAATCCTAAAATGTACATACCTCATTTTCATTGTTAAATATTAATTTTGTATCATTAGTGAACCTTAGTAAATAATATGGACTTATCTATCGATTGTAAAACTTGTAAATAACCAGCTATGAGCTCCCAAAGGAATGTTCCAATGTTGTTACAATCGATATCACAACAAGCCGAGTTGTCGTAACTGAAACAAAAACAACAAATTAATGATGTACAAAATCTGACAACTAAACAATGCCGTATGTAAACCATAGATGGACAGCTTGAGCTGGCCGGCGATCACAAGACTACGTGAAACAGACTGCTCGTGCAGTCAAATTCAACTGCTTGCCATTGATAACTGCTGCAGCAATTAGTATCCCACCAAAAACATAAATGTAGAAAAGGAGATATTACTCGGCGCTAGCTAGCCAGTTCCTTTGCTAGAACTTGGCTTGACACGATGCCGCGTGTCTAGATCGTAAATCAAAGAAGCGAGCGGAAAGTAACTGCGCGAGAGCAGCAGTTGACAGCTCCATCAGTTAGTGTATGTCTGGAGATGAATTTCAAAGTAACAAAATTGCTAGTGTTTGCGCAGACAACATATTCACAATGGCTAGAATATAAAAAAAGAAGTACACTTACAATTCCTTGTCGTTCTTTTTCCTTCTGAAGAACTTGTTGGGTTTGTTTATCATCGAATTTCACGACAGCTGCTAAAACTTTCGCTAATGTAACGGAATGTGTTCCTGATCCAGTGAGATATTCGTAGAGAATATTTTTCAAATATTCTAGTTCAGTGTTTTCTTGCAAAGAATGTAAATGTCTCAGGCTAACAAGAGCTTCGTCCAGTCTTCTTTCAAGTTTTTCATTAGTCAGTTTCAGTTTTTCATTATTACCTTGTATTTGTTGCATGTTTCCATTCATTGATCGGTTCATTTGTTCTAGAGTAATCAATTTCTCTTCAAGATTGTGTTTAGTTCCCAGTAAACTATTATACTTCTCAATTGTGACTGTATCAGTATCGTTGTTATTTGTAGACTTTTTGGTCTCAGCATAGTTCTGAGACTGTAACTGATCTTTTAATTCAAGATTTTCTTCAAGTAGTAATGAGTTTTCTCTTGTTAAATCATCAATTTTTTCTTTGTCTGCAAGAGCCTCGTTTTGCAGTTCTAATAGTTCACTGGCTTGATAGTCAGTTCGAGCGGTATTTTCACTAGAAGCAATCAATTCTCTCAATTTATCATTCAAAACTCCATTTTCTTTCGATATTTTTGCTAAATATGACTGAAGTCCTTCTACATCAGATTGAAGTCGCCTGTTTTCTTCTTTGATTGCGTCATAGTCATTTTGCAGTTCGTTGCACTTGGATGTAATTTCATTTACTTTCTGCAAATTCTCTTCTGTTATTTCTGCGTTTCTGTTTGTTAGCTGCGTATTTGCTTCTTTCAACGATGTAATATCTTCTTCATATTTGGAATTTTTAATATTCAGTTCATCAATATTATTTAATAACGACATAATTTCATCATTATCTTTATTAGTAGAACTACTATTAGTATTTGTTTGTATATTTATTTCGGTTTGTATGTCTTTGTTTATAAGTTCTTTAGCTTGTTCCTTCTTTTCTAATATCTCTATAACAGAACTTAAACGATCTTTTTCTTGCTCCATATCGGCGTGTGACTTCCGTACTTCATTTAATTCTAACTCAAGATCTTTGACATTGTTAGCGATGTTTTCGCACTGCTTTTGCAGTGAACTGTTTTCTTTCTTCAACTCTGTCACCATTTCATCCAAATCTACAACAAAGCCTTGTTTCTCTTCTAAAGCTTGTAGCAATTCTTCTTTTTCTGAATTTAATAAATTGATAAGTAAGACATCGTCCCTGTGCCTTACTTTGCGTTTTTCTACTTCTGTATTTAAAATCACGTTTTCTTTTTCAATCTTATCGAGTTTTTTAGTTAATGTTTGTTTTTCATCTTGAATTACTTTCAACTTTTCTAGGGCTTCCAAACATTGATTATTATCATGATCTATTGCTGTTTGTAGTTGTAGACATTTACTTTCAACTTCCTCTAGTTTTTGTATCATGATTTGTTTATCATTTTTGACAGAATTCAATTCATCAGCGGCAACATTACACTTACCAACAGTATTTTGTAATTCTTGTTGTAATTCCAATTTCTCACTGGCATTTAATTGAATTTTAGAAGTCAAAATTTCATTTTCATCTTTGACGGCATTCAATTCTTCTTGACAATTCGAAAGTTTTTCTGTGGTAGATTTTGCATCCTTCTGTAATGAGTTGTGATCGTTTTCAAGTTTATCGAAGTTAT